TAAGGATAAGAAACCTTAGGTAGCCTCAACAAGTTCTGATTTATTTATTTTTGTGGCTTCCACTGCAGGTCCCAGAGAATGCTTTGTGTGTGGAGATGCGGCCACTCGAGAGTGCTCGGCGTGCTTTAAAGACAAAATGTTCGCCGACACGGGTCTGAAGCAGTACTGTGATCCCTGCTGCAGGCAGGTAGGCAGCTTCCTTTTTGCAGGATGGTTTAAAGAGGTTCCCGGTGATGGGCCCCCAGATCCCTGAGATTTGGGAAAGGAAACCATTGGTTTTTGCGGTCGCTATCGTGCTTTGCAAGACGGTTTCTTCTATGACCATGCTTCCCAAGACTTTTTTTTTTGAGACCAATGCCTCGCGAGACGAATAAATTTCATTTTCGCAAGACAGCGATTCTCGCGGAACGAATTACATTTGTCTTGCGGGGCGCCACTGTAATCGTTTCTTTGCATGCCGTTGACCACTTTTTCTGGCCTGCGCAATTCTGTGACTATTCTGTACCTTTCTGGAGAGATTTGTCCTGTTGAACTCCCCCCCCCCACTTTTTTTAAATCAGTCCCTTATTTTTAGAGACGTTTCTTCTTGCAAGATTGGCTTTCCTTGGCAAATTTCTATTTGCATATGAATTAAACTTGATAGCATTTGGGGAAACAACATTCTAGGCATGCAAAGACCTATGGCATGCACAACGTTCCCTCTGGTTAATTTTAATGATCAGGCTATGCCATACTCTGGTAGTTCCCAACCTTGGGTCCGTAGATGTCCTTGGACTACAGCTCCCAGAAGACCACTACTAGCTGTGCTGGCCAGGAGTTCTGGGAGTTGTAGTCGAAGAACATTTGGGGAACAACGGCCATCGTCCGGTCGTTCAAATAGATCCACGGTTGGCGCCTGTGTTGTGGCTAGACCATGAACCATTCCCTCTCTGTGAGGGTCACTGGCATCATCCCTGACCTCCCAACCCTTTCCTCCTTGGATGCCAACCTACAGCAGCTGGTCCAGCTTTCTTCTTGCCATTCTGATCTCAGGCCAGTTGCCAGGACCAACCCCCATATCCCTGTGGGTCCCACCCCATTTCCCGAGCCATTTAAGAGCCGCCCTTGGGCTCCCTCTCGTCTCCCTTTGCAGGCTCACTCTCATTACCAGCGGAAGGCCCACCGGACCACCGAGCTGCACATCCCCGAGGAGTTCCACAGGGCTTTTTGCCAGGGCAACCGGCGGGTCCCTCGGGAGAAGCTGGAGCTCTTTGCCGTTCTCTGCATCGAGACGAGTCACTACGTTGCCTTCGTGAAATATGGACCAGAAAAGGAGAACTGGATGTTTTTTGACAGCATGGCAGACAGGCATGGTAGGCGTTCAGGGATGATCCCACGGCGAGTGTCCCTTCCGACAATTCTCTCTCTCATTTGCGTGTGTGCATGTATGGGGAAGTGTTGTTCTGTATGCCCTTCAGTGTCTGGAGCACATGGGAATGTATCTCTGGGTCTGTGTATGGATGCGAGGGAGGCTTCTCTTCTTATGACCCAGTCCACTGCATTCTAGAAAATGCTGAACTCCCGACGGGAACTAAAAGTGCAGTCCTACATGTTGATGCACAAGTCGGAGCTACTCTGATGGTTACTTCCAGATAAGCAGGTACAGCCTTTCAGCGTTAGCAGGAAAATGGGCAAGTGGCCTTGAGAACAGAAGGCTGAGGGGAGATAGGATAGCATTTTTAAAATACTCAAAAGACTGTCATGCAGAGGAGGGGCAGGATCTGTTCTCGATCATCCCAGAGTGCAGGACAGGCAACAATGGGCTCGAGCTAAAAGAAGCCAGATTTTGGTTGAATATCAGGCAAAACGTCCTAACTGTTAGAGCAGTACAACGATGGAGCTCGTGACCTCAGGAGGTGGTGAGCACTCCAGTGCTGGAGGCCTTCAAGAGAAACTTAAGACAACCACCTGGCAGATCTCCTTTGATTTGGATTCCTGCCTCGAGCAGGGGGTTGGCCTTAGGGTTCCCTTCCCACTTAATGATTTTATGATTTGACAAGAGGTCTGTTGTAGCTTTGTGGGCAGAAACCGTTGCCCATTAGGAAGTGGAAGCTGAGTGTGCTGTTTGTGCATTTAATGGAGAAGTCCTGCCAGATTTAATCTGCTCCTAAGAGGCTTTGTTGATGTGAGCTGGCTTGTTGAATCATTGTGATATTTTGAAACCCCCAGCTTTTCCATATAGCACGCTAGCCAGCTGCAGAGTGCAGGGCTGGTCCACCCTTCGACTGCCGTGCCATTTGAATTTTTCTCTGAAATGGTTCATAGTAATATTCGTATTGTTGCTGTGCCCCTCCTGTACACCCACCAGGTGAGAAAAGGCAGGGAATTCTAGGCATGCTGGGGCCTCGCCTTTTCCTTCCTCCCCAGGCTTAAACTGTTTTCTGCTGCTTGTGGAGCACAGGGCGGGGGGTTGCCGCCGCTTCTACCGGAGGGAGGAGGGTGGCCTTGATCTGCCGCTGTTTTGATGGCTGCTGTTGGCAATCTGGGGAAGGTGCAGCAGCTGCCCCTTGAAGGCGGCTGCTTTTAGAGTCTGTGCTAGTCCCACTGCCCACGCAAACATCTGTCCTGGTGCAGTTGGTAGAGATGACTCCGCTTTGGCAGCACAAAGCAGGGGAGATTTGGGAAGAAGGCAAGCGCATGGTGTAACTCGCCGATGCCTGGATCCTCAATTCCATCTCCCTCTCGTTGGACACAGGTGATGAGAACGGTTACAACATCCCCACGGTGACCCTGTGCCCAGAGGTGGCGAAGTACCTGGAGATGCCGGTGGCTGCCTTGGCCATGGAGCAGCCCCGAGACATGGAAGGAGTCGCCAAGCGCCTCTTCTGTGATGCCTACATGTACATGTACCAGAGCAAGAGGATGGCGCTCTATAAATGATGGCCGAGTCGCTTCGTATCGCTGACCGTGGAATGAAGGCGGAGCCGTCCCAGGACCCTTTTGCTGCGGGTCTCTTCCGAGACGTCGCTCATGCTGTTTACAAAACTTGCCTTTAGGGACAAGAGGAAGGGGAATGATCCTTGTTTCCACAGCTGATGACTTGGAACTGGCAAGCCCCAGGTGACCCGCGCTGTGGGGGAGGGCATCACCCCACCGCGGTCTTTCCATGTCCTTTTCCCGGGAGCCTTCCCCCATATTTTCTCAGCACTGGGTCATACCTGGGGAAGGCAGAAAGCTCCAGGCCCGTCTGGATGCAGCTCCGTGGTCCTGCGACTCTGAATCCGGTCGTGGTTTAGGCCACGGATCCAGACCACTTGTGGGCTTGGCCAATCCCAGCTTTGGATCGAATTTTTCTCCCTGCTTGTCTGGGAGATGGGAATGGAGACTCTCTGGTGAAGAAAAGCTTCCTGCCAGTTCTCGGTTTGACCGGGAATCCCAAGGGGACCAGCTGCTGCTCTTCCCCTGGCACATCCGGTTTGTCTCTTTCCTTGGACCCCTGGCATTGGTGGGAGCCCTCGCGCAGACGACGGGCCCTTGGGCTTCTCACGCGCCCTAGTTTTAGACGAAAGTGCTAGCGGTTGTGTCTGGCTTTGTTTGTACCCTGTGGTGTGGCAGAAGGGAAAGGAAGCCAGCAGTTCTTCTTGCCTTTCCCTCGGAGGTTTTCGTCCTGGTGCAAAAACCTGCCTCATGGGGTTCAGAAATCATGCTTGGTTGACCTTCTCTTTTCAAAATCCTATAAAGGTTCCTTAGCAATTTATCTTCACCGGGTTGGACTGAGGTTCTCTTTAAGGTAATATATTTGTTGCTCAACTAGGAATGAGAAGGTGGGCTCGCCATAGCCTCTCCCCGCTCTTCTCCACTGAAAAAGGGGCAGCCATGCCGGCAGAAGTCTCCAGGAGCTGTGAAACAAGAGAGTTATCTTCTAGGTACTTAACAGCGTCAAGAAAAAAAAGGGAGGACGCAGCCTATGGAGGGATAGAGAACGAAGGAGGTAGAGCTTCCAGAGACCCTTTGCGTCTGCCCACTCCGGCTGTAAAGGGTTGGCATTTGGCATTTTCGGACATTCCCACAGGAGTATAAAGGTATATCGAAAATATTATGTGCAAGACATGTAGAGTTCTATCTGCTTGGCGTAGATTTTGCAAAATGACATTTTAGTAGATGAAAGACAGGTAACGTTTTGTGAATATTGTGCAATAAAATAAGAGTGAGGGGTGGGCAGATTGCTGGACCCATTTGGTGGGGTTTCTGTGATGCTACTGAGAGGTCACGCCTTGTAGGCTGTGAACCATTTCTTGAACCTTTAGCACTTTTCATCAAAGGTACCGCCTTTTGGAATGAGGATTATGTTTGACAGGGAATGTGGGAGCTCGTCAGCGTCCAGAAACTGGAAATGAGATCAAAGTATGGGAAATTCAACAAGTGAGGAGTCGGCTCCATTTATCTGGCACTCGACGGGAGTGACGTAGCAACCTTCCCACTTCGTTTTGCTGGTGGTCTAGCATCCCAACCAGCGACGGGTACTCAGCTGGCTTAGAAAACTCATTTGACATAAGCAAACCATTTCTGTGCAATATCTGGGGTGTCTTTGCTGATTTAAACCATGTTTCCCACCACTGTAACCTTATCTCTGAAGTATGTAATTTTCCCTCTCTCATTATTTCTCTAATTTTTACCTTAAGCAATCTCAGGGAAACAAAGATTTTTTTTATTATATTGTGATAACTAATTTCTAAAACGTACTTTCCAATAATACAATCTTATTTTTGACTCGACCGTTGGCTTCTTTTTTCCAACCAATGTCTTTCTGTGTCAAAGCTACTCAGGTGAAGCACCTGGGTTTGCAAGCAAGCGGACTGTGTTAAGAGTGGTCTTAACTGGCTAGATAGGCGGGATATAAATAAAATATATAAATTCTGTCCATGTTGGACGATGAAAGATGTGGGCCAGAGCAGGCATGCAATAATGGGCAATACCTCAAGTTGATCTGTTTGTGGATGGCTCCCCTCTCTTGACATGACCAATGTTGGGTTCTTGAGATAACTTTCAAAGGGCATTGAATTTCGATTATGAGAGCAGGCCCACTGATCCCGTGGGATTCATATAAATGTCAACCTACCCTCTGGTGACCGATTCCATGTGTTGCCTTGTAAATCCTAACCATTGGGTTCAGGCGGCTGGCTGGTGGCAGAATGGCTCGTGGAAGGAAGACGAGAGCAGGGCGGCAGGATGGGCACCTTCACCCACGGCCACGAAAAGCCCAAGGGGGTGGGTGGGCAGGTAGGTGTTGGCAAGGGCCACGAAAACCAAATGTCTCCCTCGGCAGGGAAGAAAACTCACTCAAAAGATCCAGGCAAACACCTTCACGTATCAATGGTGGCTAAAGAGATTTATTTATTTTATATACAAAGGATATATGGGTGCCTCCCTGTCGTGGCACCGGAAGGGACATGACTTTGGAACAAGGCAGGGGTGCCCGGTGTCTTGCTTGTGCTTCTTGTGTTTTGCCCTTTTTGGAATCTCTCTCCCCCCCCCGTGCATCTGCCCCCCCCTCAACCTCATCATCAGCAGGCGCACCCTCTGGTCCAGACCGGGGGGGGGGGTCATTCCTTTTCCATTGGCTGCAAACCAGCCTGAACAATGAACTTGAGCCATGCTGTAGGACACCCACCCCACTTTTATCTTACCAACGCGGAAGTGGCAAGCACGGTGATTCCTAAGTTAAGAGGTGTGAATGGGAGAGAACACTTGGACCCTACAGCTCTGGTGCTCCATAGGGTCAGTCCCTCTCTCGTCCCCCCCCCCCCGGCCTGCCATGCACAAAAATATTCAACGTCATTTTAGAAAGAAGCAGAAGATGCTGCTTTCGAGGCCGATGTTTACAAAAAACTAGCTACTTTGCGCCAAGGTGGAATAGAGCCCCACCCCCCACCCCGCATGCCATCTTGCCTGGCAGGTGCCGGCTGGTCCCTTTGTGCCAAGGTGGCAGCGAGACTTGGCCAGTGGTCATCCGGAGAGTAGCCCTCTTTCTCTGTCACCCGGCTCGGTTGGATATTGAGCCAGGGCTGTGCCAACGACGTGGCCAGTGGCCTCTCTTGGCAGCCACCAAGAGCCTTGCCCAGTTTAGAGTCTGGTCTGTTCCGAGGCAGCCGGGGGGGGGGAACCTTTGGGGGCCATCTGTCCTGGTGAGAGGGAGCTGCTTTTTCTTTTCCTCTTTGGGCTCCCGTGCTCCTGTTCCCTGTCCCACGTGAGGATCTGTGCTCCCCAGCTTTTAAAAGCTCCCCCCTTCCTTTTAAAGAGAAACCAACCATTCTCTCCAAACCAGGGCCCCTCTGTTGGCCGATTAACTGCATGGTATATTCTTATAGCATATAGCATATAGCATGGATATAAAAAAGGGGGGGAACAGATCACAAAGCAAGGTCATAAAGCAAGGGTTCGGCAGCCTCTGGCCTGGGGGGACCCTTTGTCTCCCTTTGCTTTGAAACGCCCCAGGTTTCTTCTTAGCCTGTTTCCAATCCTTGCCTGCTGCTGTCAGGCCAACCCCCCGGCCTTCCTTTTCTCGCTGGCCCCAACATCCTCGGAAAACACTCTTGTTCAAAGGCTCCCGTAACACGTTGGGTCCTACGAACATTCCTGCAAACAAGTCCCTTGCAAGGGAGGAGGGAGGAGACCTTAGCGGCCAGAACACTCCATCGGTTTCCTCGCACCCCTGTTGCCGAAACACCTCCGATTATGGCAAAAACCTATGAATCTCCAAAATGTCCTTCGGCCCCTATTCTCCTCTAGCTGTTGCTGTTACCGCAAGAGCATCCAGTAACAGCCTCATCGCTCACAGCTCTCACAACAGCACGTTGTTACGCACAGCCCCCTGCCCCCTGAAGCCAGAGCCTGTGTTCTTGCAGAGTTTTAAACCGGGGGGGGGTGTTCGATTTCCTTTATGTCAAGTTAATTTTACAAACCACCCTAACTCTTCCGGTTCAGCTCCCGTGTGGAGGACCTAGAAATCCAGTTTCTCCTGAATCTGACCTTGTCTTAAGGGCCTGGTCACAGCAACACACCTGGAGCCTTGCCGTCACATGAAGGACTGTTAACGGCTTATTCCTTCTGCATAACGATTCTACCGCAGGGAGCGAAGGAAAGAGCAAGACCCTCGCTCACAGAGCAACGCTGGTGCCCAGACTTGACAAAAGACAACTTGGGATCACACACCCCCTGCAGAGTCTGTGTTTTTTTTTTTTGACATAACACCTTTCGAGCAGCTTCTCAAGATGTGAGAATTAGCTAGGTTCCCCTCTTTTAAAGGAGTTTCACTTGCTTACTGCCCAATTCTGTAATCTGCAGTTCTCCCAGGGCACGGTTAACACTTGAAAATAATCCGAGGGTTGGCTGATTGTACAGCCTCACTCTCTTCTGCAACGGTAATGAGGTCAGAGGCTTTTGCAGGCAGCTGTTCTCCCTGGCTGCTTAACTGCGGTCACTACACTTGCCTAGTTTGCTTTCTGTTCCCATGAAAGCCTAAAGTCAAAGAGGACCGTCACAGGAGAATGCAACCAACAGAAGGGCTACGGGTTTTCTAAAAGGCTGCTGAAATAAATGTAGAAGTGGCTTGACACAGGGAGGAGGAGCTCGGGAAGGTACCCGGTCTGTCTTGGCTTCTGCCGTTCCATTGGCTGAAAGGCTTCCAGAAACTGACTTCATGTTGTGCTGCTTTAAAACCAATTAGCAACAAAACAACGGGCTGAAGCCGAGGAGGGCTTCCTGGCCTGAGACTCATCTGAAGGATGGCAAAGGAGGTTTTGAGAAGCCTATCAGGATGGCTATGCACAGCCTGTCCCCACGAGCAACATCTGCCGGAGAGTTAAGTCCGTTGCTTCAATAAAAAAACATGTGCCAGCTCTCAGGGTTTTTTATACCCGTGTCCAGCCTCCTTCCGAAGACACTAGTAAAGAATCAACGTTCTTGAGCTGTGTCCGCTGGCCGGGTGGGACGTCTCCGGGCAGATGCTCACAGCTCTTCCGCCGGAGGGTGAGGAGATGGTGGCCACACCCATCCAGGGCCAGCTTCCCGGCATGCATGTCGCTTGTGACGTAGCCAGCCCAAGAGAGGAATGTGGGGAAACGTCCTCTGATCAAAGCGATGAGACCCGCCAAGAAGAGGTGGCCCTTCCCTCTCTCTCGCTCCCTCCAATAAATAAATAAATTACACCAAGGCTGTATTCTTGTGGGCACACTGATTTGGGAGGAAGCCTCGCTGAAATAAAGGGGAGTGGGGGGAGGATTTACCTCTGTGCAAGCACAGAGGATTAAGTTCATGTGGGAGCAAGGCTGAGGTCGATCACATCGGGACGTGTGCTTCAAACAGAAACGAGAGGCCTGTGAGCGCTGAACGTGGGTCTCCTGCAGCCGAGGTGAGCTCTGTGACCCACCAGGAGTAAAGGGGGGGCTGTCCTTTTCTGGACACCCTTCCCCCCCCCAACAGACCACTCCTGTTCAGCAGCTTTGTGTGCTTCCGTCAGCCTTTGAGCCTCCGTCTGGCAAAGCCCCTCGATCTCGCCAGAACACCCATCGCCTTCCGAGTATTCTCACCGGTTCTTTGGCTTCTTTGCAGCCTGCGGTGGTAAGGCAGCTTTGCGCAGGAAGGAGAAAACACCACCTGGGAAAGAAGGAGCACGCTGCGGCCATAACGGCGCTGCCACCCATTTGCAACCGAAAGGAAAAATAGAGGAAAGAAGCCCCTTTCAATGAACGAGTAACTAAAAAGGGCCGGGTCGTCTCGGCTGCATAGAAGGAAAATACTACGGTTTTAAACGGGGCTGCAGCAAACCTTTTAACAAAGATATTCACATCCAGTGTCCAAACCCGGCAGGAGGAGAGCCGCCCCGTCTCGGTCTGAGTGCAGGCATTTATGTGTTCATCGAGGCTGCCTGTGCGGCGACCGTGGGAAAATAATATGCCCGGCTAGGCACCCCGTTCTGGCTTCCCAAGAGTGGACGAACTCTTGCTCTGGGGATGTCAGCCGCTCGGCGGTCCCCCGCCAGCCGGTGGAGCGGCAGAGCACGGCTTGGGGAGCAGCTGATCTCGAAGGCCTCTGTGGGGGTTCTCGAAGGGAGAGGCTGCTCCAGGCTCGCCAGGAGGAAAGGGGGACAAGGCAGGGCGGTGAGCCGTGGATCAGTTGCGCTTGTTGGCCAGCTGCCGGTCTCGCCGCTTCTTCTCCATCAGCCTGCGACGGGGAAAAAGAACAGGGCTGTCGGGTCCCTGAGCAAAGGGTCCCCCCCCACCCCACCGCCTTCAGGGCTGAGTCCTCCTGAAGCAGCACCAAGGGTGTGTTTGGACGCTGCCGTTTTCAGCATGGCAAAGCACAAGACCGTGGCTGCTTGCGGTCTGGGGGTGCCTGTTTTTTTGCTGAGGTCTGGCAGGTTTTGTCCCAGCAGGTTGAGAGAAAAGGTTTACTCTCCCCACCCCCAGCATGGGAGGAAGAGAGAGAGCTGGAGCCTGCTGAGATGATGCCGCTGCTGTACCAGCAGCAGCAGAAGAAAAGCTCCTGAATCAAGACTGTAGGAAAGCCCACAAACCCAATCGGTCGTAAACGGGGATCTAGCTAAACCCTCCCCCCGCCCCGGCCAGAGCTTTTCCTCTCTCGGGCTGGCAAAGAACCGGGTGGTTTTCCGCTCACTTTCGATTGCGCACTTCCGTCAGCTCCATAAGGCGCTCTTGCGCAGCCCGAAGCTCATCCAGGCGTTGCTGGTAGCGGGAGTCCCCGTTGTTGCTGGGCTCAAAGCTGGACATCTGGCTGGACAGCTCGTTGGCCAGGTCGCGCAGCTGCTGGATGGAGGAGTACAGGTTCTCGTCGTCTTCCTCCTGCCGGGCATCAAGCAATGGGTTAATGGTGGCGGGGGCCAAAACCCGGATCCTCCTTCCTCGGTCCCTACCTGGCCCCGGAGGCCGTGCAGCGGGGCTGGCCTGCCACTTCCTTTAAAGCTACGTCTGGGAGAGGCAACAGAAACCGGAGTGGCATTTCTTTCGTTGGCTCAATGGAGAACCTCGCTTGCTCGCTTGTCTAGAACACACCATTTAATCTGCTTTATTTATACAGGATGATGACCCCTTTTTTTTACTTGCTGCAAACTGCCCAGAATATTGCACTGAACGAATGGGGTGGTATATAAATTTAAGAATTAGATAAAATAAATAAATAACCACACGGTTATTTATAAATAAAACAAAACACACGGTAGCATATTTACGGGTGAGGAGGCTTATGTGCCAGGCGGTTTCACAGGAAACACCCTAAGCCTGTTTTCAGCCAGAAAGGCCCACAGGAACCCGGAAGAGCAGGCAGGCGAAGGCCACAGCAAGGCTGACGGGACCTTCTGTGCTAGAGCTAAACCGACTGCAAATGACCAAGTGGGAGGACCCTTGGCCCCCTCAGGGGAGGGCAAGGTAGGAAGAGGCACTATAATGCTTCCCACAACCCTTGGGAGCCACGACCACATTTGTTCCGAAAGGCTGCCCCCGTGTTCTAGGCGCCCTCTGGCTTTCTCTGTCCAGTCAAGGGAGGGGAGGGCACGCAGAGTTTTACCAGGCCCTGCTTTTTTAAGGGGGAAACTGTCTTGCCTGGGAATGGCGAGGTCCGCCGCCTGTCTTGACCACCCCGGCATGCGGCTGACCTTGGCGTTTGCGATCTCAATGTGCATCAGCAGAGAAGCAAGTTCCAGGTCCTCGCTGTAGCTGTTCTTCAAGGGCACGGACCGGTAACCTGCCAGCACAGATCAGAATGAGTGCCCGCTGAGGCGCGCTGAAGCCTCTAAACAAGACAGGGCCGTAAGGGGCCCCATTGTCTAACAAAGCGAGCTGAGTTGATTTCCTTTGGAATTTTTTCCTTGACAATTTTTTTCCTAGGTTTCTGAGCAAACCTGGCAGTCCTGGGACCAGGAGCCCTTGAATGGGTTTTGGTTGAAAGCAGGGTTAGGAGCAAACGGGCCACGTTCAAAAGGGAGGGAGGCAAACCGAGGAGTTGTCCGAGGATCCGCATCCGATCCTGGGAGGACTTAAAACTTGCTCACAGAACATCTGTGGACGTAGAGGGAGCCGAGTCTGGGGGAGGGCACCAAAGGGCTCCCCAGCCCGACAGTCGCACGGAGAGGGGCCTAAGCCTTCCAGGGACGGCACCGTTTCACCACCCTTTCTCCAGCATCCTTGGCCCCTGCGATGGAGCAAAAGAACCACCCCCGTGGGGCTGCACCCTAGTAGACAGTGCTGGCCAAAAAGAGAGAGAGGCCCATTTGCAGGTGGGGGGTGGGGTGGCGGGTCAGTCTGTGAGTGAAAGGAAGCTGGCCGAGGGCAGGAGGTGGCCGGTACCTGTCTTGAGGCCCTTGACAGGGAACGTGGCCTGAGCCAGGAAGTTGGGGTCACTGAACATGTCCTCCTCGTAGACCACAAAGCGCAGGAAGGCAAACTCCGGGTTGTTGATGTCAAAGACAAACTGCTTCACGAGCCAGACGGGGTTGAGGCCGTTGTCCGCTGTGAGGGAAGGAGGCGGAAAATAAGAGCCGTGCCCCACCTATTGCGACCCACCCAGGTTTCTGAAAGCCAGCGAGAGCCTTGCATGTCAAAACCTGAGGGGAGAAGGATACACCTCTGCTGCGGCGACGTAAAGTCAAGAAGGACATCTTGTGGAATCGAGAATGTGTTCCCCCACCAGCACCCCTATATGAGCACAGTTGGAAGAGTGGTGCTGTGCCGAGAGAATGTGTTCCCCCACCAGCACCCTATACAGTTGTGCCTCGCTTTACAATTGCCCTGCATTACGGCGAATCCACATTATGACAATCTTTTTGCGATCACAATTACGATTGCAAAACGATGGTCTAAATAGGGGAATTTCGCTTTGCGATGATCGGTTCCCTGCTTCAGGAACCGATTCTTCGCAAAATGACGTTTTTTAAACCGCTGGTGGTGGTTTCAAAATGGCCGCCAGGTAAATAAAATGGCTCCCCGCTGTGTTTAGGGACGGATTCCTTGCTATACAGGCAGCGAAAATGGCCGCCGTATGGAGGATCTTCGCTGGATGGAGTTTTAAGCCCACTGGAATGCATTGAAAGGTTTTCAATGCGTTTCAATGGGCTTTTTATTTTCGCTTTACCATGTTTCCGCTTAACAGCGATTTTCCTGGAACGGATTATCACCATTAAGCGAGGCACTACTGTATAAGCACAGTTGGAAGAGTGGTGCTGTGCCGATCAGGATGGGGACCACTGCTTGGGAGCTCAGGGGCTCCATTCTTGACTAAACCAAGGCATGACCCCCCCCCTCGATCTTCCTTCTTTCTCTTCCAACCACTTTTCTCAGCCTGTGGGTGTCCAGAAAGCTGGGTTTACGGGGGTGGGCAGTCCTGCTCCGGATCCTCCATGCACTGCACCCCCCCTCGACAGAAACTCACCCCGCCCCCCATGAATGGGGTCATTTGAAACATCAGGAACACAAACCCCTTAAAGAACATATGGAAAAGAAAACTCTAGGAAGTACATAAAGCCACAAATTATGGGCTCAGACGTCACATGGTTGAAGGGGCAACAGAAGCGCCTTGTCTTAGCCGACAGTTTGAAAGGCGAAAAGCGTTTTTTCCTCTGCGAGAGGAGCAGAAATAAATGACAGGCACCGGGTACCACTCTGGCCCGCCGCCTTGCACACATTGGGAGAGCCGGCTTCTCACCTACGACCTCCGTCTTGCTTTTGCTGTTATCAAACTCTGAGCCACAGACCTCGACCTCCACGAAGGGGCAAACGATGCTGCGGCCGTTCTTGGGGAGATGCCGGGCCCCCAGGATCTGTGGGGCCAAAAAGGGAGTCAGGTCAGATGGAAACAGGAAGAGGTGGAAAGGGAACAGGAGAGGCCCACCAGCGCCGGCACCGCTTGGTGCTGCCTGGGAGACCAGACCAAACCCCGCGGGCCTTCCCCTCTCTCTCCCCCTGCCCGCCCCCCCGGGGGGTCACGTGCCTGCAGTTGAACGGTGATGGGCTCCACGTGCTTCAAGCTGCTCTTGTCAAAGGGGTCAAAGAGGTCATCCCGCATGATGTCCGGCTGCAGCACGTAGCCGCTGCGCCCGCCCAGCATGAAGAGGGACTGGTTCAACTGCATGGGCTTGTCTGGAAGCAAAAAGAAAGAACAATGTGATTTTGCAGAAAAGTCCAACCTGCAAAGGCGCCGGAAGCAAAGGCGCCCTTAAACGTCAGCTGCTTTGGGTACACTGAAAACAGCACAACGGTGTGACTGGGGTGTAGCCAAAATCCTCTCGCCTCATTAACACCCGCCTGGGTTGGGGAGGTGAATTGTCATCTCAGGTTAAGAAATGAAGGTCAACCTTGTCTGATGAGTACCAGTGGTATGGCCCAGCTTGTAATGGATCCTGCCTAGAGTGAGGTCTCCTGGGTCCCCCAGAGGTTCTTGGACTACCACTCCCAGAAAACCTGGCCAGGACAGCTGGTGGCAAGGGCTTCTGGGAGTTGTAGTTCAAGAACATCAGGGCGACCCAAGGTTGGGAAACACTAGCCTAGCCTGGCTGCGCCCTTTATGCCTGCAGAACTACTCCATTCTGGCCAGAAAGGGGCTCCCCATCGCAGGACTCAAGGGTGGCTCTTTGGGCCTCCATCCCACCTTAGGGATGACCGCTCAAGTGGCCGGGCACCTGCTTTGCCAGAGGACAGCCTGGGCTCCGTTTCTTGATCTAAGTTGGAAGGATCCCCTAACAGGAGAGAAGAAGGACCCTCCTTAGAGAGCTTTACACCCTCCGTGCGAGTCAGGCCAGAGCAGGCTCCGTGCGGCCCGTCAACCAAAGGCAGGCCCAGGGGCCGAAAGGTGGCTTGTCAGCACTCTTGGCACCCCCAGCATCACCACGTCCCTTCCAAATTCTACTGTTTAGGAAGGTGGAACCTCGAAAATTCTTCTCCCACCCTCCAGGAAACATTTTGAGGGCACTCGGACACTCTCTTTTTATTTTTAATTTTGCTGCCACGTGATACAAGGGGCCTCCCCCCCCGTAAAAAACAAAAAATTGTTAGGAATTTGGGTTGAAAGGGAGCCAAGGTCACACAGGAGAGGAGCAAGGGCGGGGGAGGGGGAAAGCCCACCCACCCCCCTGGACCGCTAGACAATGATCCCCAACCCCAGAGAAGACAAGGCGAGAGCAGAGTCTTCTGTCTGGTGCTTCGGTAGTATTTGCACATGTACTGTTTTTACTCTTTAAATAGTGTCTTCCACTGATGTAGGGTAAAATTATTTGGATGGATGGATGGATGGATGGATGGATGGATGGATGGATGGATGGAAAGAGAGAGGATGGATGGATGGATGGATGGATGGATGGATGGATGGATGGATGGATGGATGGATGGATGGATGTGTTAGTCAATGGATGGATGGATGGATGGATGGATGGATGGATGGATGGATGGATGGATGGATGGATGGATGGATGGATGGATGGATGGGTTAGTCGATGGATGGATGGAT